CGAATTACATTATACAAAGAAAGGGGACCCCGGTCGGCTGCCGCCCTGGTTCGGCTCCTCCTCCTCTCCTTCAGGCTCGGGGGTCGGCGGCTCTGGGATCTCCCCCCTGGCCTTGGCCTCCTCCCGACGCTGATCCCTCCTCAATTTCCCCAGCGCTTGGATCAGAAGATCGTCATCCGTGTTTGCGTCCAAGTCAAAACCGGGCCCCAGCAGCTTGGCGAATGTGGGGAGGGTGGCCTTTACCCCTTCATTGTAGCCGGCGGCGAAAGTACTGTCGCCGACCTCATATAGGAACTTGCGGGACAGGGGGGAGCCCTCAAGGATCCGGACGCCGCGGGCCAGGCGCTGGCGGGGCGGTATCTTCTCTAGGGCCGCAGCAAACAAGTCGGCGAAGACCCCGGCGCAGTAATCCTTGGCGGAGTCCATAAACTCCCCGGTATTCCGGTAGCCGGAGGTGTCAACCAGCCACTCCGGACTCGCGTCCTTCGCAACGGGGTGCACCGGAACGAGCCTAAAACCAGCTTCTGCAAGGCTGGCCAGCTGGCTGCGGGATTCGGCCTGCAGGGCTGCAATCTCCCTCCCCTTGGCTGCAGCCTCCGCCTCAGCCCGACGGGCGGCCTCCCGGGCCGTGGCAGCGGCAGCGTCGGCCTTGGCCTTGGCCTCTCTCAGGTCGGCCTCCTTGGCAGCCTCAGCTTGAAGGACTAGAAGCCCAGACTGGATGACAGAAGGAAAAATAAAGACAATGGTTAGAAGATGAATGTCAAGGGAAAGATGTAATCGGATCTGGAAAAGAAGGGATACCTGAAGAGCGGCGGCCAGGGCAGCGCTGGTCGCCTCGGATGACGAACGGCGGGGCAGTTCGAGACCGGCCTTGAGGGCCATCTCCCTCCAAAGCTCTTCCGCCGGGCGGCTCAAAGGCAGGGAGCCGGCATCTTCAAGCAGGGGGCCAGTGGAGCCTGCCTCACGGCCCCTCTTCTGTTTCTTCTCGGGGACCTTCTCTGTCCCCTTCTGAGGAGCCACCTTCGTGGGGACGACCGGCGGTGGAAGGGCAGCTTCGAGAGCAGGGGCCCCGGAACCCTGAGCCAGCATAGTGGCAATTAAGTGCTGCTCACCCTCAGCAGTTCGTCGGGCAGCATCGGAAGCCGAGGAGTTGGAATCCGAGGCGGGGGCGTTCTTGGCTTTCGCCAGTGCAGCTTTAGCAGCGGCCGCCTTGGCCTTCCTAGTTTTCAAGCACTCGGCGTGATTCATCTGAGCTCGGTCTGGCGGAGAACCTGCAGGGAAACAATAAAGGGTTAAAAGACGAGCGGAGAATATAACAAGACACTCACCTCGAAGGACAGGACCGCCCGGTGCCCCGAGACGAGCGTCGAAGAGTGGAAAAAGTCCAGGGACACGGGCGGTACCTATGCCTGCCCCCGAGAGTGCCTCGAAGGTCAGATAGCCGGCTATGGGGCGAATGCCGCCCTGCAGGATCCCCTCCACGTCCTCACTCAAATCTTCGGTCAGCTCCGGCGACTCTATCTTGGGGGGATAGCCATTCCAGCGAACTGGGAGGGGAGGGCCGTCATATCGAAGGAAGAAAAACCGGTTTTTCCAATCATGAATGGAGGAGGGATAGTTCTTAAAAAGCCTCCTCCCCGGACGTGCGGCCACGCTCAGGTAGCCGTCGGAATTCTGAGGGGTGATCCAGAAGAAGTAGTGGAACAGATCCAAGGTGGCATCGACTCCCGCAAGTTTGCAGCGCACCAAGAAGGCAGATATGAACCGATACGAGTTTGGCATGAATTGCGCCGGGGCCACTTGGAAGCAGTGGAAGAACTCCACATAAAATGCATGAAGTGGAAACCGCAGTCCGGCTTCAACGGAGTCCAGATGGAGCATGATCATCCCCGGACGTCTCCTCATCACGTGCTCGGCGCCTCTCACGCTCCAGACGAACGGCGGGGGGAAGAAGGTGCGGATTTTGTTAAGAGCCACGCGGGAGAGGACTTGATCATGGTCGAGGGCGCTTCTGATCGGACAAATGTGGCGCTCCATGTCCGTAGGGATGCCCAGATCATGCACCTCCATGTCAGAACCTGATTCGGCCTCCTCCCCAGAATCATAATCGGCGGGGCGCTCATTCAAGGGGACTGCGTCAATAACATCTACTGCCCCGTCAGCATCTCCATCCCCGGCATCGCTCCCACTACCTTGGGAAGCGTCATCCGGCTCACCATCAGCCCGGATGGTCCCTACCGTCGTGGCCGAACCAGAAGTCCCAGAAACACTGGCCTTTCCCGGGGAGCGCGCATTCACATTGTCAGAAGAGGAGTCCGAAGAGGAACCCGATGAACCGGAATCAGAACTTGACGAAATCTCCATCGAAGTCATTTCGGCTAGGAGTCAGAACAAAGAAAAGAAGCAGAGGAGGGAAATTACCTTACAAAGAGACTAGCTGAACTCAGAAGCCAAGCAGAGAACTCGAAGAACAGCGGAGATTTTAAGGCAAGGGAGCAGAAATTGGGAACCCTAATTCAGGGGGAAAACCCGGCATTTATAGGGGGAGCACCGGTTAAGGGGCCAACGGGGGGTTGACACGTAGCAAGGAGCGTGGTCCGGCTCACGCGCCGTGCGTGGGATGGAAGCGTAATGATGACACTTCCTCGGGAAAATGCACCGCCGCTACAGCAGCCGTCACCTCGTTTCCTGAACCGTCGACAGCTGTCAAGCACCATGACCACGAGCGTACGCTTCCACCGGATGCAGTAGACACAAGTATCAAGTCACGAACGTCTACATCGAGGGAGTTCATACTTCCTTATGTCCTGCGCATGCTCAGAACATCAGAAGTGGGGGACTTGTGTTGGGTTAAGGGCCCAAGCCGAGGTCCGGCCCACTAACCCCATCTTGCCAGACGCACGTCCAGTTAGAACACAAGGCCAGCCCACAGGCCCATGTTACTTGAGGATGGACGAACGTCTGGGGTTGGGAGTTCAGGCCCAGCGGCTCATCCCGACGAACGTCTATACAGGGACAAGGAACAGGACGCGGGCTACCAGGGGATGACGACGAACGTCCCCATGGCAAGCTTGTAGTCATCCGAGGAAATCCAGTCCACATGGAGAGGATCCACAAGACCAGGAGACGAACAGCCGAAACCTCTTGAGGATCACTTGGAGCGATCCAGCTCGCTTCCCAGGCGGACGAACGTCCCCATTGCTTAGGCGGGAAACCTAGATTCTGGCGGGAAGTGCATTTAATGCTGAAGATTTGGTAGTTGGGGCACCAGCGGTCCACAGACTGCCACGTCAGCACAGCCACCTGCCCATTGGTGGGTATAAATAGAAGCATTTATTTCATTGTAAAGGGTGGGCAACTTTCTATTCTTAGCATTCTAGCTTTAGCACTCTTACTCGCGGCATTTCTAACTGCCTCGTAAGACGAACGGCCGACGTGCCTTTTTAGCAAGTAGATTGTACTTAGGGGAGTTATTACGAAGTTAATAATACCTATTTACATTGCCTGCTATTTCCTCTGTTTCCTGATCCATCTGATAGTGTTGGGCTAGATATTCATACATTCACTCCACTCGAAATCTTTGGGCTTACGTGTTGGGTCTGAAGGTTGAAGGAATAAACCTCAACAATGTTATATTCTATTATTATGAAAATATGTTATATTCTATTATTATGAAAATGTATAATATAAAATATTATAAAATCTATAATTTATTTTAAACTCAAATGAGTAAAACGACTAAATAGAACGAACGTACACAAATGAGCTTTTGGATTTTTGTAAACTCATTTTTAAGTTATGTATGTCCATTTAGTACCTCTGTTATGCTCATTTTAAAAAGTTATATCAATGCATATTTCAAAAGTTTCATATTACACTAGATTCACATAGAAGTTGATTATAGACACGAGACCACAAATCATGATACTCAATCGCACGATTCTAATACTCAATAACGGAAGTTTGATGCTCACTGAAAATGTCTTGATGCTCAATGAACAAAACTTACAATTTTCTTATCAATGCTCATCTTGTAAGTTACATATACTCATTTGTATAGGTCTGATGCTCATTAAAAATTCATTAATGCTCATGTAACAGAAATCGTGATTTCCATCGATCTCAATCGATGAGGTTTGATACTCAATGAAAATGTCGTGATATTCAACTAACAAACCTTACGATTTTCATATTAATGCACATTTTGCAAGTTACGTATGCTCATCTGGTACTGATCTTGTGCACATTTTGTAAATGTCATATCAATGCATTTTTAAAAGTACTATTCTACATTAGATTCACATATTGAAATTCATAGGAGTTGATTATAAATATAATGTAATAAGTTTTTGTAGAAGTTATGAAGCAGAGATCACGATTGTGAATATTAGACTCCTAATACTCAACATAATAGGTTTGTTGCTCATTAAAAGTTCATTAACGCTCATTCACCAGAATCGTGATTTTCATGTCAATAGCGGAGATTTTATGCTCATTTAAAATGTCATAATGTTCAACTAACAAACCTTACGATTTTTCATATCAATGTGCACTTTGTAAGTTATGTATGCTCATTTGGTACTGATGTTATGCTCATTTTTAATTGTTATATCAATGCATATTTCAAAAGTATCATATTAAATTAGACTCGCATATTGAAATTGATAGGAGTGTATTATAGATATAATTTAATAAGTTTTTATAAAAGAAAAAATAAGAAAAAGAAAAAAAAATTAGAAGATTTGAAGCAGGCGTCGTGATAATCATTGATAGTCTCTTAAATACTCAATAAAATAGGTCTGGCGCTCATTATAAATACATTATTGCTCATTTAACGGAAGTCGTGATTTTTCGCTTAAATTACAAAAATGCCACCGAATTCTTTTTGGCCTGTATCAGATATTGGGCTGTCTTCCTTAGTTGGACCGGGTGTACGTACACCCGGATGTACGCACTCAAAGAAAATGCCGAGTAGTTAATAGAGGCCCAGTTTTAATTTTAATAAAATAACCCGTTCAAAATCCCCAGATCATCATTCGAACTTCCGCAAAAACGCATCTCCTTCGGATTTTCTCATTCTTGCGCATACGCTCGGAGACACGGAGTCATAGACTAGGGAAGACGGTACGGCTGCACCGTTGCGACCCACCCACCTGCCACCGTTGTCAACTGTTACCACCGACTGCGCCCTGACCGGCTGACCCTGCTTCCTTTTGTCGCGTTACGCAGCCAGGTAAAACGCCACAATCTTTCTCAAGAGTGTTTTTCTTCTTCTTGCCGACGGTCAAACCCCTTCTGTAGGCTCAAAATTGTTTGCAGAATGGCTTAATTGCTAATCCATCTGAATTGCTAGATTTATAATTTATTTGTGTGCAGAATTTTACCGACTTGGCTGAAGTGATAAACTCTATCTAAAATCATACGGAGTTTTTTTTTTTTTTTTTAAATATAGAAATTGCAGAAAGAGAGTTTGACAAATTTAAGGCGAATGGGGTGGACTGTTTTTTGACGGAAAACAACTGAAGTTGTAGTTGTTCTCTTAGATATTACGGAGTATAGTGAATGTAATGAATTAATATAGCATTTTGTCCACTGACCGGTGCTTGAGGACTCAGGAGTTCTTAATACCACATCCCTCCTCTATGATCAAACAAGTCTTAAAGTAAGAATGAATTTGAGTTATTAAGAAAAGTGAAGTAACACCACCTCCAAGGAGAGGACTGAGATTGCAGATTTGCAGTTATTTTGAACCTTGGTTCTAGTAAATCCCAATTAATCGTGAATTTCTTGTTGCTTGCAAGAAGGTTTATGTTTGAGTTCTGAGAATTGTTTGGTTTCCCCATTTAGTTGACATGACGACAGCAGCTAGACCTACATGGGCACCTGCAAAGGGTGGCAGTGAGCAAGGTGGGACTCGAATTTTCGGCCCATCTCAGAAATACTCTTCTAGAGACATGGCGTCTCATACAACTTTGAAGCCAAGGTTTTTACTTGAACTCAATATATTTACAGTGTTTTTTGTTTTTTTTGTTGTGGTGGTGAGAGAGGTTTGCAGGTATAACTGTCTGTCTATTCAGCTGTAATAGTTGAGTATGCTATACTGTTTTCTAACAGAGTTCTACAATTTGATGTACTCCTATTTTAATATCAGTTGCCTAGTCCGGATACCTTCATAAAATGGCAGTGAATTGATTTGAAATCTTGGCCTTTTGAAATAGTGATTGTCCTAGTGGTAAAATCATGAATTTCATTTTTCTTGCCAATGTTGGGAATATCTGGTTCAGGCTTCACCATGCATATTTAGCTATTAATTTCATAATGTGATTGGATATGTTGTGCAGAAAGGAAGGACAAGAAACTCAGGATGAATTGCAGAAGAGAAACCTTCGAGAGGAACTTGAACAGCGGGAATCAAGGCACTTCTCTTCAAAGGACAAAGGCTACAATGGTATGTAGAGCGTATCTTCTCCTTCTCATCATGTTCCACCCCACCCCACCAGCCCACCACAAGGAGCACACATTTATAATCAAGAGCAGATGATGTAGTTGACCTGTTAACCTCTTGATTTTTATGGTTGCAGAGGACAGGGATCGCCGAAAGAGTAATCATCTTCTTTTAGAAGGCAAGTGATATTTGTTTGTCGTATGCGTTTGTTTTATAATTGAAAACTTTGAATTTCGTTTCGTCAAATGGTGATGTCATGCAAACAGGTTCTAAAAGGGAAAGTGAAGATCGAATTATTCCACGTAGTGCGGATGCTGATGATGCAGATGTGGTTGCCAAAAGTGATGATGAAAGGCAAGTGTTATGTTTTCATTAATTTTTCCCCTATTTTGTCACTGATCATGCACAACCATTTTTTTTAGAATGTTTTTTCTATATTCAGCTCTAAATGATATCTGATACTCCAAAAGTGTTCAACAACCAAGTTATATACAAAGTATGATTTTAAATCTTTCATCATGTCTCATTAAATAAAAAAAGTGATGGGCCAGCAGTGCATGCACGTGTTTACTGTTTAATGATCCTTCACATTCTTTTGTGTTTCCAATGTGGTGTCGTAAAATATCTGCTGTGGTCACTGTATAGTGAGGACGATGATGATGAGGACGAGGATGACATGGAAGCTCTCTTGGCTGAGCTGGGTCAGATAAAAAAAGAAAGAGCAGATGAAAAAATGAGAAAAGTAAGTTTTTTAATCTGTGTATCTTTTACAGGTTTTACTGTTTGGTTTTATTTGTTAATTTCTTGTCAAGGCACTGTTGCTGAGAATTTTGAGCAGCCAAAGTGTAAACAATGTTGAGAGATTGCTAGGCAGTTCCGTTAATCGTTATTAGTGCCTAGCCAGTGGGACTGTTTAGCCAGTTAGCCCACCCAGGGGCGGAGCCAGAAAAATGACTCAGCGGGGTCGAAATCAAATTTACATAGAATCAAAACGGTAGATTATTTTTAGACAATACCCAAATTGAATGTAGCTTAGATAAATGATAGTTTAAATGAAATTAATAGAGTATATGTAGTTAATATACTTCGTATATGTCACATATATTATAAACTTGTTTTATACGGGTTGAGTTGAGTACCTCGGATGAGACCCATTGTCTTACCCTAGTACTCTATGGTTCTCTTCGATCTTACTCGGTTTAGTATCAAGATTTCTTATTAGAAAAGAATCATTTATTGAGTAGGCACTCGTAGCAGTAAGATATGTTGTCTTTGCTCTGTCCCTAAGTCATGTCACGTAAGTAACGAGTGAATTACACGCTATTTTGTGAATATAATTAATATTACGCATCGCAATTTTACTAATTTCAAACTTAAATAGTGCTGATTTTGCAGAAGTCATAACTTTTTACTCGTAATGAGTTACGTGAGCCATAATATATCAAATCAAAGATATTTCAGAGCTCTACACTCTTAAATTTTCAGCGGGGTCGGCTGACCACCCTGACCCCCCAGTAGCTCCGCCCCTGCCCACCTCAGCATTGTTTTTTACAACAAGGTGGAGGACTTCCAACTAATGGTTAGGTTGTGTCTCAGGTTGTGTTTTACTGAACTCAATGTAAATGCAAGTGAGAAGAATGAAGAGAATAGAAGATATAAAGTGTGTCCTTTAGTCCAGTCCATCTGTGTACATAGCCACGTAGCTGACACAACTTCATAATGACACCTCACTACAAGTTGAACTGTTTTCTTTATTTTTGAAATTGGTTAATTAAGTCTTCAATGTAAGGCTTCATACTCTGAGTTATCTTATATGTGGTTTCATGGAGCAGCATGAAGTTTAAGAACACTGCCACCTCATAATTTTTGTGTAGTGGTAATGAAGTGTGTGCTGCTTGCAGGAACGGCAGCAACTAGAAGAAGATCTCAAAGTGAAGTGTGTGCTGCTTGCAGGAACGGCAGCAACTAGAAGAAGATCTCAAAGCAAAGGAAGCAGAACTTTTAAGAGGAAATCCTCTCATAAACCAGCCAACATCCTTTAATGTGAAGAGAAGGTCAGTTCTCTTGTTCTTAGATTATTTTGGGTTGGATTTTAATTAATTAATTTATTAAATTCATATGTTGTTTTGCTTAGGTGGGACGATGATGTGGTCTTCAAGAACCAGGCTAGGGGAGAAGCAAAAGCTCCGAAGCGCTTTATCAATGATACCATTCGGAATGACTTCCATCGTAAGTTTCTGCATAAATATATGAAATAATATCAAAGATGCCAAACTTGTACCACCTTCTTTGTCTAAATGAAGGTGATTATTTCATAATTTTAGCCCTGTCGAGGACATGCCATTATGTTATTATATTATTATTACTATTATTATTGTTGTTGTGATTGTTGTTGTTGTTGCTGTTGTTGGTGCATTGTGCCTTGCTATCCAACTGTTAAAAGTTCAATGATTCTTAGATAAGTAACTTCATAATGTTGATTATCTAACCATGAACAGATGGGGTATTATTCAGATGGTGTATTATTCGCACAAGTTTTCCTCAAGTGATGCATGTTTTTAGCACATAATACTTTCTTTTATACGATTATTGGTGGATCCGTGGATGTCGTTCTGGACTTCTGGTACACATTGGACCATGTACATCTCTAGGAAGAGGCAAATCTAGAAGTTTGTGTTGTGTTGAGCTGGACTAAGTAGTTATTGGACTAAGTTTAGGAAAGTACTGAGGTGGTGTAAACGGGAAAAAGAATTACTTTAAATAAATATTTATGCACTTTGTCTTGAATTCAGCCTACGATGTCTAAAACAACAAAGCTGATAGTGTTCGGAAACAATGGTTTTTGCCTACTTTTTGGAACACATTCCATCTGTTTAAAAGGTGTTCCATCATTTCCAATGGATCCAAAGACTCACTATTCTTTGGCTTGGGAAAATGATGGAATAAAGTGTAATGGTTCACTTTTATGAAGTAGCAGTCAATCCAAGCAATTTTCGACCCAATTTTCATCACGAATCATCCGGAAATAGTCTTTGTGCTTTAGTTCAGGTGTAAGATTATGCACATTCAACCCTCCTTACCCCACTCTAGGTGAGAGCTTTTGTGGCACTGAGTAATGTTTTTGTGCGATTCTGGGTACATCGGTTCTCATTCCAATATTGTTTCATTTTTTTTTAAATTAAGAAAATACAAAATTAGAACTGGAGCAGTTGGATATGGTCTTATCTCTGAAGATCAAAATGGTTGTACTGGTTCTGTAAGAGTCATTACATTGCCATTTAGAATACCAGTCAAGTCTTTACTAGTTGATTTCAGGGATTTGTTAGTGGTAATATCCTGGTTGGGGTAATCAATTTCGGTAGATGAAGTAGGTATAGGTATGTACGGGTGGGCTGTTGGTCTCATTCTCAATTGGTAGTTTGGTACCCGCATTTTCAAACCATCTTAGGCGGTGGGGAGTTAAGGACTAGTACCGAAGCTGGCTGGCTGGCCTGGTTATACATATGAATCAGCATAGTATGTCTTGTTTCTGGTATGGTGAGCACCATTTTTCAGTACAAAAACATTGACAGGCCTGGCTAGGAACCAGGGCATTTTGTACTCCCAGTCCTGGATTCGCTCTGTTGGACCAACAACTAGAAACTGTGTAAACTATCAATTACATAAGAAATTTCATTATTCAAGCTCTTCTGCCCCATCCAAACCAAGTTGTGTTAAACTTTATTGGGACTAAATCTAGGTGTCTCTATATTAGTCATGGACCCGAGCCGGGCCTAGGCCCGGTCGGGCCTCGGGTTTTTTGAAGGAGGCTCGGGACCGGCCCGTGCTATGGCCGGTGCCCGGTCTTCGGGTCCTTCCACATATCAAAATTGTATAAGAGAATATTTACTTTCCATCTTTAAATGGTAGATGTATAAGTAGGAATGTAGGATAATAAGAGAAGATGAAGATGGAGAAGAGTTGGAGAAGAGGTGTAGAAAAATGTTACCAAATAGATGTATTTATAAAAATTTTTGAACCCCACACCACCACCCCCGGGACCCCCCCTGCCCCCCACCCAAAGCCCCAACAGCTATATAGCCGTTTGGGAGCTTTTTTGTTTTTAAATTTTTTTAAATTTTTTTTATTTGAAAATTATACATATTGTAAAATAAGTTAATTAATTTAATAAATTAAGTAAAGCTATTTTTACTTAGAAAAGTGGTTTGATATATAATTTACTAATGTTACAAAATAGGTGTATTTAAACAAATTACATATTGTAAAGCTATTTTTAATTTAAAAATAGCCTTTAGAAAATTAATTGTAAGTTATAAGTTTGTAACCAATTAATTAATTTGAGAAGTGCTCCATATAAAAAAAATGAACGCATATTTATTTGAAATATGAAGTACAAGTTTACAAATTACAATTGAGAATTGAGGGAAAGATTAAAACATGAAATACATTTTATAATAAACTCTAAAATACTAATCAATTGGAACCTCCGGAATACAAATGTATTCTAAAATACATTTTATAATAAATTTTAAAATACAAATTACAAATGTATGAATGTGTATACTAATTAATGGGAGTAAATGAGTAATAGAATGGTTTTAACTAATATTAATTAAAGTGTAAGTAATATATAATATATTGTGTAAGTGAGTCCCGTTCGAGTCAGGCCGGCCTAACCGGAAGGCCCGTGCGGCCTTCCCCTTTTGGGTACCTTCCCGGTGGAATTTTTTGATGAAATTTTTTGAGCATGTTCCTCATCAAGTCTAGTTTATCCATACCAAATTTCAGCTCAAAATTCGACCGGGAAGGCAGTCAAATAAATTCTTGAAACATACTGCACTTTATATGTGCGCAGAATGCCCAATATGTTTCAAGAATTTATTTGACATTTTGACTGCTTTCCCGATCGAGTTTTTAGCTGAAATTTGGTATGGATAAATTAGACTTGATGAGGAACATTCTAAAAAAAATTCATCAAAAAATTCCACCGGGAATGCCCCCAAACGGGGAAGGCCGCACGGGGCTGTCCGGTCAGGCCGCCTGACTCGAATACTTAATATATTAATTAGATGTAATAAAAGTAATATATTAGTAAAAATCGAATATATATATATATATATATATATATATATATATACTTAATAGATGTAGTATGTTTTATTAATATCTTATTACTAGTATATACATAAAATACTACTTAAGTAGATATAAGTAGTATAATTTTTACATATATTAAGTAGATGTAGTATGTATGTAATAAAATAAAGAATAAAATTATATGTAAAAATAGTTAAAATGATCATCTACAGTACCTTCAGTCAATACAGGCAGAAAAGTATCTTCAACCTTACTTTTTCTTATTATTACATAATTCAGCGTGCGAATACAAAAGTTATGTATTAGGTGAAAAAGTTGTCTGATAAGTTTGATAACCCAAAAAACAGTGTTATCAAACGGTCTCTAGTTCTATTCAGCAAATTCAAATACAGGAAAGTAATTTCAAGCTTATTCATTTTGATTATTTGACAATTGAGTATGTGAAGGCGGATAGATAAAAATAGAGATTCTCACCTTATTTATTTATAAACATAAATGTAGTTATACTTAATCTTGACATTATAATTTCTTCACTTCGTATGTTCCCGCTTGTATTGAAGTTAATAACTTAGCTTTTGCTAAGAATATAAAGATAAGAACGCTTGCTTGTATGATGGAGTATTCCATAAAGCAAAAAAAAAAAAGTAACTTTAGCTTCAATTAATTATTCCACAATTGGCCAAGTATGCGGTAGCTTTTTTTCCCACCCCAATATTATCCTTTAGGTTAGGTAAACGTCAAGCAGCAAAACAAAGTTGTTTGCAAAAGTTTCTTCAAAGTGTTTTTGTTTTGTTTTGCTTTAAAAAGGTTTAAATAGCGCTTTTAAATAAATGTCCTCAATTCTCATATAGAGTGAGTATAAGTTTTAGCAGTTTGAACTTTAAAGCTAAAAGTTGTAAACCTTTTTCACATTTTTTATTACACAATATTGGTGACTAACCATTCTAGTGAAGAATGGTGGGTGGAAGTGTGGAACTAAACACAAATATGAATCATATGATTACCTACAAGGCCAAGCGTAATTCTTTGACGATTTCAACAAATTCATTTGATTTAGAATTTGTTGTTCTACACACTCCAAGATCATGGATTCATGGAGTGTTTTTATAAATTTTTGTTGGATCGATTTATGATTTTCATTCACATATGCATCAAGACTTCTACTTTTATAATTCAATGTGATATTTATTTGTAGGATAATGACAAGTTATTAAAATTGGTCACCAGCCAATAAATACATGTCGCATTGCAATCTACAAAAACAATATACACAAAAAAGTTTTTAAACTTACTCTAAGATACTACGTCCATGCATGACTCCATACTATTAAAAAAAGTGAAATTATGTAGTTGATTTTGAATAGATAAAATGAGAAGACATTATTTCAGCTATTCAAATAATACAATACCAAATATGGTGTGGAATAAAACTAGCGAGACGTATAAAAAGAATGAGAAAATGGCAGAAGGCCGAATAGAGTAGTACGTAGTCGGTAGTTCTCCATATGTTTTAAGTGCTCTTCAATGCTACTTTGCACTTTAGTGACGTCAAGGTCACATTATTCTAAAAAACAAAACACGTCTCCACTCTCCATGTTTGATCAACCCTATTTTTTCAATTATAAAAAAAAACTATTTTTTTAAAAGAAGTTATCAGACTTAGGTAAGAAATTAAAAATTAAATATTCAAAACAATCATAAAATAAGAAACAATTTCTTAAAATATGAGCAAAACTGTTAAGGGATTAAGATTCTAAAATAGGAGTTTTATACTTTCCTCCAATGCTAATACGTTAACTACGTGGCATGAGAAATAACCAATCAAAAAATAATAAATAAAATATATTTCTCCTTATTTGAAGGATTTTATATTATTTTGGTAAGTTTTTCTTCACAATGTCAACCACAATGTCTAGATGTAGGCATTGTGGTTGACATTGCAGAGAAAAACTTACCAAAAACACATAAGATCGTGGAAAGACGGAGAGAGAAATGTCATAAAATAAATTTTTTGTGTTTATCTCTCTCATGCCACATGTGCACCGTGTACATTGTAGCATTAGAGATGCGTATTAGTCTTTTCGGTCAGTGTTTCCCTAGTGAGATCTCTCGCGTAGGGTTTTTACTTCGCCGCCCTGGTGCGGCGTTTCTTTCAATCGACGCAGCACTGCGCCGGATTGCTGTGGTTTGGACGTAGCTTGGGATGGATGATCGTGGCAGCGAGAAGATGGTGGAAGAAGTGAGAGAGAGACGCAAGGATGATTGGGACATGGTTAGCGTGGAGAGGCTGAACGCTCCATTCAATAGCTTGAATTTGGGTCATACGGCGGCGGGTATGCCACTGAAAGAGGGTATTAATCGAGCGACGGTCCGACCTCCGCCTGAACCACCACCATGGGTTGTACGAGGTGCTAGAGTCCGTGAAAGTTTTCCTAGTAATTTTT